TATCCTTTGTGTTTATGGATGATAGGTGTATGGTTGAGAGTAAATGATCCTTCACTTGTATGGCTAGGATCTCTTGATCGTAGGATTTAGTTTCAATAAATAGTGAAGCATTGTATTATAGAAGCAATCAATGATGAAGGCATTGTTGCTTTACCCTTGTTATTGCATCTATGGCTCTCCATCTCGCTTTTATATTTTCTTTCATTATCTATCGGGCCTTTTGTTTTTAATTCAAAGAGATAAATTTTGGCTAGAATAAAACCAAAATGGAATAATTATAGTTTTCAATTGCCATTGGTTCTTGTATTCGGTTTCATAGAGAAAGAAACAAATATTATTATTAAAAACCCAATTAGACTTTAATATCTTGCTTGAAGAGGTGAAATTCCCTGAAAGTTTGAGGCTGCTTCCAGCAAAGTTCATCTACTTGGTTGTCCTCACCAGAAAACCAAGTATAAAAGATATATATAATTGTATGTATTCTCTTATCATGAATGATTAGTTTTAATCCTGTCTATCGTACTACACTAATGATGTACAACTTGTACACAGTAGACCGGCCAATATTTAAATTTAGAAGTAGGAGACAACTAATTAACTTGTTTTATGATATCATGCAACTTGTTGGCCACCATTTGAGAGAGAGAGAGGGAGAGAGACAGAGAGTGGTTTGACTTGCAAATTTGAATGTGTAAACAAATAGGAAAGACTTGGCTCCACTATTATTATATTTATATAATACATTAGTCGTTGAATATATATTAGTATCATACAAAATATAGAGTATTGAAGTTTGATGGAAACATCCTCACAAATTTTAGGCAATTTCACTTCTTGATGCAATAAATTTTCGGGTGTTTTTACATATAGTAACAGGATCTTTACATCTTAAACAATTTTGTTTATTAAAAACACCAACAGCAATTGAAAGCTGCATTTTGTATAATGCCATTGCCGACCTTCAATCAAACAACATATAATTTTCAAAAATATCATTTTCGCTTGCATTTTTTATAATGCAGTAAACCAATTGCGTTGGTGTGTGGTAGGCAAAAAGATAAATAAGAAGAGAAGCTGTTCTTGGGGGAAAGTGAACAAAAAACAAAGGAATAATTGAATTTCGATGAGCTAATCGAGGTCATTTTTCTAAAAGTTTCCAATTTTGTTATGCATGACTTAATAAGCAACCTGGCTAAAATCATTGCTCTTTGGAATTCGCTACTTGCTCAATAAGAAGGTGGATCATCATTTCACTTTAACTTGTTAAAGTGGTGCTTTAGGTACTCAGTCATTATCTGGATATTAGTATTTCAAGGTCCTTCCAAAAATGGTGAATCTCCGGACAAGCAAACACCAAGAAAACCTCGTCAGCTAAGTAAACCATACTAGGAAATTTCAGCTCTAAGTGACAAACTAGACCAAAGGCAACTACCCAAAAGATGAATATTCAATCCATTATCAGGCAATATTGTACCTAATACACAGTTTATTTCACTTGATTTCATTGCCAACAGTGAAATGCTGCCCAGAAACTTATTTCGAATCAGAATGTGTGGTAATAATGAATGTAAAAAATATTGAAAAATGATGACCTGTCGCAGTGGAACCTATTTGCACCCTCGCTCTCACGCTTTAAAAGTGGTGTTCGGCTACCAAACCTCGAGTCTTTCAGCTCCTTTGAGGTTTATATCTCCTCCCAATTCTTATATGGATTACTCTTTTGAAACGAAAGAGAAAAAAAATATGTGGACTTTTCTCTCCTGATGAAATTCACACTATTAGAATAGGGTGTATGTCACACTTTCCTCATAATCCTGTAAGAGATGAAAAACTTGATCAAAATCATGTTATCCTGCTCGAGACCTTGAATAATACGTCATCATGATGGATAAGATTCAAAATGGCAGAACAATTTGCTTATGCCACAAACAGCACCATAGAAAAGCAGCAAAACGGTTGCGAGGCAGAAAAGTAGAACTAGAATTTAGCAAAAAAAAATTCTTGGGACATATAACTCCAATCATTACTCCAACACATTAAAAAAAAAATCACACGGATGGTTTTTCATGAGAACTATTTCCAGACTCAAACAGCAGGTAAAGAGAGTGTACCGAGTTTCGTTTCTCTCAAACCGAACCCTGTTTATAAACATAAGTCCCATCAATCTCCACACATGGAATCCCAGCTATCTTCGGCCAATAGTCTCCCTTGTCCTTTGCACACCTTTGCCTGAGAAGCGGACAATCGCTTATCTCCAGATGCCACAGCTTCTCTAACAGCGCTTCCCCAGGTAAAACGTTAAGATTCTGGCAGTTCATAATCAACAAGTGCCTCAACAACGTGAGATTTTCAAGCACCTTACCAAGCGAAGCGAGTTTCGGAAATCTAGCAATCGAGAATTTTATTAAAGAAGGAGGAAACAGACAGTCGTCCTCCCCAAGCAGCTCGACCTCCTTAAATCCACCGCAGATTGAGAACTCTCTGAGTGAAGCTAGCCTGTGTAGGCCCCACTTTGAAAGAGGCTTGAATTTCTTAGAATCCCATATCCTGAGCGAGGTCAAATTCGGCGGCAGATCGAACCTCGGAAAATTATCGAGCCTCGGACAGCTCCTCAGCTCGAGCGAAACGAGCGATTTCATGGTTCGGATTTTCGCCGGCAAAGACTTCAAACTCGGGCAGTCCTCGATCGATAGCGCTCGGAGGCCCGAAGGCAGGCCGTTTTCTGGAAAGTGCTTCAGTCGAAGGCAGCTCGAGAGGTAAAGCTCGACGAGGTGCGCGAACCCGTGCAGCCTCTCGAGCAGATTATTAAAGTTCGTCCAGTTGCATAAGCTCAGATCTTCTAGAAGCATGCCACCACTTCCTTCCGGAAACATCCCCTCCGTGACGGTCTCGAGCTGCGCGCAGTTCTTGATCGAGAGTTTCTTGAGCGTGGCCGGGAAATGGGCCACCGCCCACTTCCCGAGCGACGAGCACTCCTTGATCTCGAGGCGCTCGAGTCCGGATATGTTGGCGGGAAGGGACTCTAGAGAGTTGCAGCTCAGTATCTCGAGACGCTTGAGAGTTCTCGGAATGCCGTTTTCGGGGAAGGCGACGAATTTCTGGCAGTTTTTGATGATCAGCTCACGTAAGGACTCCAGTTCGCTCAGGTTGTTCGGGAGAGAGTCGAGGTTCGCGCAACGGAATAATTCGAGGACTTCGAGGTTCGGCGGGAGCTGATGGTCCCCCTGTCCTAGCGACACGAGCTGGGGACAGCTGGCGATGACGAGGCGCCTCAGGCGGGACAGGTGGACGCCTTCGGGCCACAAGGAAAGGAGTTCGCTGCAGCTGCAGCACTCTAGGACCTCGAGTGCCACCAGGGACTTCATGACCTCGGCTGGCAGATGAGAAAGGCCGAAAATGGACTCGATTTTAAGGTAGTTGAGGGACTCCAAGCCCGAGAAACTTTCAAGCAAGACCATGCCGCATTCTTCAACGTCCAATGTGCGAAGAGAAGGGAAGGTCAGCGGAGAGACTTCGGCCAGCTTCCCGCATTTGAAAATCGAGAGGTGTTGCAAATTAGGGAACTCGATGGGGCCGGCCCATTTTTGCCACTCGGGCATATTGTCGAATCTTAGATTCTCGAGTTTCGGGAATGGGGTTACGATGGTGCCCGTCCCGTAGAATTCGGTCCCCACCTGTTTAATTTTGGGCATGCCCCCGACTCGTAGGTGTTTGAGTTCGGGAAGCTGCCCGAGAGGCGGAAGGGACGAGCACTCCGAGCAGTTGCCGATAATTATGCTCGACAATTTACGGAAGGCGGGATCACCGATCCAGCTCGGGAAGTTCAATCCTCTGTAGAACTCGATCTTGAGGCTTTTTAAGTTCTCGTGTGGTAGAAGATGGTCGATCACGTCCTCCTCCGGAATTTTGTCGTTGTTTGAGTTGTCGATCTCGCTTCCCCACGAAAGCTGCAACTCGTCGAGATCGTTCTTGCATCTAAAGTTGGCCTCCTTCACGTCCTCGATATCCATCACATTCTGAAGCTCGAAAACGGCCAGGGATCCGCGTAGATGCCTCATGTCCCGCAGTTGCTTCAGCCCTAAGCAGCCTCCTTCTTTGCTGAGAACAATTTTCGGCAGAGTCTGGAGATTCCTCAGGTTACCGATCTCGACCGGCATATCCTTCAGCTGATCGGTGTTTGAGTTGTCCAGATGCCGCAAGTTCGAGAGGCTCCCCAGTGCAGGAGGCAGCTTGCATATAAATCGGCAGTTACGTAAAGACAAAGTCTGCAGATGGAAAAGACCGCTCAAAGTATCGGGCAACGTGACAATCGAGGTCCCGGACAGGTTGAGGTAGCGTAAATGCAGCAAGTTGCAGATGGAGCTAGGAAGCTCGGTTATGGAATAGCCGCTGAGGGACAACACTCTGAGACTGCCGAGTTTCGGCACCAACTCGACCAGAATACGGTTAGAGAGGTAAAATGGAGGCCAAACGAGGGAGTTTTGTACAGGCATAGGCAGAAATGTCCTCAAGCCCTGGACCTGATAGAAAGTGCGGAATTTCTGGAGAACCTCGTACTCGTGGCGGAGGAATGAGCCGTGACGGGCCTTCTCAGGCACGCGATACTCCTGACTGGTGTCCATTTTTTCGTCCAGCCGATAGCAAGTCCCCCCCGCCACAAACTGTGCCAGGTCGTTTATAAGGTCGTGCATGACAAAGCACGAGTCACTTCCCCCTAGCCGCTGGAAAAAGGATCTCGACAGCAGCTCGTTGAAATACTGAAGGCCGAGCTCCTCCTTGCGCACCCTCGGGTTCGGCTGCTCGAGAAACCCTTCCCCCATCCACAGGAGCACGAGTTCATCCCGGTCAAACTCGTAATCCTTGGGGAAAATCGAGCAATAGGCGAACAAATGCTTCAAGTGAGACGGGAGGTGGTGGTAACTGAGCCTCAAGACGGGGAGTATATTGTGGTGCTCGGGCAAATCCCATATCTTGCTACTCAGCACATTCTCCCACTCTTCCTTAGTCTCCTTCGAGCGCAGAAGTCCGCCGAGCGTCTTGGCAGCCAGAGGAAGCCCTTTGCACTTCTTCGCCAGCCCAAGCCCGACATCCCTTAATTCGAGATTCTCGTGGAAGGACATTCGCGCGTGCTGCGCCAGCAAGGACAGGCAGTCCTCGTCGGTCAGCAGCTTCATGTGGTAGGCCGCGCGCGGAGACCGGACAACAGAGGCAACGCTGTCGTTTCGAGTCGTGACTATGATTCGGCTCCCGGGCAGCCCGAACTGGAACGGGCGGTAAAGGTCGTCCCACTTCCCGTAGTCCTCGTTCCACAAGTCGTCTAGCACGATGAGAAACCGGGTCTTGGCCAGCCTGTCCTTGAGGCTGACCTGGAGCGTGTCCAGGTCACGGGACTGGCTGCTCAGCCCAGTCACCGACTCGTAAACGGTCTTAGTGATGGTTATCACGTCGAACTCCTCCGTCACGCAAACCCACGCACGCACGTGGAAACTGTCCTTGACACTCCTGTCGTTGTACACGATCTGGGCGAGTGTGGTTTTCCCGATTCCGCCCATCCCGACTATCGGGATCACGGAAATGTCGTCATTATCATCCTCGTTGGCTAGCAATTTCCTAATAACTTTCTCTTTATCCTCGTCTCGTCCGTACACGTATGACTCGTTGACTAAGGATGTGCTCGGCAGTCTAGGAACGGTTGACCGGGTGCATGAGCTGCGCACGTTCTCCTGCAAATTTAGTTCGACTCTCTGTTTCACAATGTTCTGCAGTCGGCTATTGGTTTCCTTTATTCTGGACATGAGGCGGTAATTTGAGACGAGAGTGCCTGGCATGTAGCTAGAGCAAGTGGGGATGAATCTCCAGATTTTGCTCGTTCGGTTGCAGTTTTGGGAATGTTCCTCCGAGTCTTGGACCAGGGCTCGGGTAGTGATCTCGTCCAGAAGGTCGTCTAGATCGTATGCCAAGTCGCGCAGGGATTCCAGCCAAACTTTCACGGATTTTTCGGTAAGTTGCTTCTCCTCAGCATCGTCTAGGACGGCCTGGATGATGGTGAGGCTCTGGCTTAGCTTCTTGAAATGGCTCTCGACTTTTTCACGGCGGGCTAGAGCCATGGTTGCTGCCGAGGCCAGCTGCTGGAATAGAACCTGAATGAATGCTGAGAGAAATAGTTCCCCCAACGCCATTTTCCTTCTAACTTCCTCTTTTCTTCAATTTTTTTCTTTCTCTTTTTTTCTTTTTTTGGCTTCTCGTTTTGTAGCAGTTGGGGTTGATGGAAGAATCACCAAAAAGGCTTCATTCACATACAAAAAAAGGAACATTATCAGTGATATTGCTATTCCTTGTTTTCCTATGTCTTACTAAGTGAAACTGTCTTTTGCATCACAGAATCAAATATTGAATAAACAGTCTACAGTTGGAAACTGTGAAGGACTAAGTCGAAGCATATCTGGGGCTTTCGGTGCTTTTTCTAATAAATCTACAAATTGTAATGGTTGGAATTTAGATTCTTTTTCAAGCTAAAATCTGCACTCTGAACATTTTTTTTTTTTGTACATACACATAAATGATAATTTTGGCGAAAACAACCGGAAACGGAATACTGGAAAAAGATGGGAAAGAAGGCACTATTCAAAATACAAGTGCTTTAAGCAACTAAAAAACACAATAAAAGATAATCAAGCAGCATCGACAATAGTTACTATCTCTATCCCTTTCTACACGGAAAAATAACAGGCAATTATCAAACCATCACAGTGATTTAAGCTCAGGGAAATTAGAAAAACAAATTGAAACATTAAACCTAAAACATTAAATTCCAGAATCGTCTTAAACTAACAGGAGTATGTCACTTACAAATTTAAGGTGAGGTGCTGCTGAAAGAGAGGATTTTTGTACTTATTTGCTGCTGTAATTGGCTTATTCTTCTACGCAGCAGTGTTTATGATTGTGATTGTGATTATGAGGGAGGCATTAGCTCACTCTTTTTTCTTCATTTCCATATACTAAATAAAAAGAAATAAAAGAAAATGCAGTGTATTTAGATGGACAAGAGATGGCAATTCAAGTCAACTGCCACATCTTGCAAGAAGTTTCATAACAGGCTGGCCTGGCCGAGAATTTATTTCATATCAACTCCCAAACACAATTTGAATAAATGAAAATGCAGTGTATTTAGATGGACATGAGATGGCAATTCAAGTCAACTGCCACATCTTGCAAGAAGTTTCATAACAGGCTGGCCTGGCCGACAGAGGTGGAATTAATTAGTCACAATAATTTATTTCATATCAACTCCCAAACACAATTTATATAATCTTTATTAGTGCGTGGCGTGTGCGATGCATGGAAAAACAATATTATGATTGTATTATAAGTTAAATATATAAATAACATTAATCATGATTTATCTATTGTTTCTAAATTAAACCGGGTTGGACACAGTTCGACCGAATAGACCGAGAACCGGTTTATAACCAGTCTAGTTCGCTTGAATAAAATATTTGCTCTCGCATCCATCAACACAAGTCGGTTGGACTGGTAGGATCGATACGATTTTCTAAATAAATTTTGTTATATTTAAAATTATTTTAAATAAAATTACATATTTAAATAAAATAGAGATTTATAAATTATTTATCAATTAGTTTAAACATTTGAATTTATAAATTGTTTAGATATTTAAGTAACACATTTTATTTAAATTTATTACAAAAAGTACTATATATATTAAAATGTTTATAAATTAAAATCTGAACAAACCACAAATGATTTAATAAAATAGCTTCTTCTGAAAACCTTATATTTATTGTACATTAATAAATATTATAATAAAATTATTTAGCTTCGTCTGAAAACCACTTGGAGAGAGGCTTGAATTTCGTCGAATCCCATATCCTGAGCGAGGTCAAATTCGGTGGCAGATCGAACCTCGAAAAATTATCGAGCCTCGGACAGCTCCTCAGCTCGAGCGAAACGAGCGATTTCATGGTTCGGATTTCGGCCGGCAAAGACTTCAAACTCGGGCAGTCCTCGATCGAGAGCGCTCGAAGGCAAGCCGTGTTCCGGAAAGTGCTTCAGTCAGAGGCAGCTCGAGAGGTAAAGCTCGACAAGGTGCGCGAAATCGTGAAGCCTCTCGAGCAAATTATTAAAGTTCGTCCAGTTGCATAAGCTCAGATCTTCTAAAGGCATGGCACCACTTCCTTCCGGAAAGATCCCCTCCGAGACGGCCTCGAGCTGCACGCAGTTCTTGATCGAGAGTTTCTTGAGCGTGGCCGGGAAATGGGCCACGGCCCACTTCCCGAGCAACGAGCACTCCTTGATCTCGAGACGCTCGAGTCCGGATATGTTGGTGGGAAGGGGTTGCAGCTCAGTCCGGATACGTCCGATCCCAGAGTACACAATCACACAGGGCAAGGACGCCGTGACAGCGAACGACAACAACGCCCGTTCGGACTTGTCCAAGCTCGGAATTGAGTTACGTTTTTTCCTATACGTAGCTAACGAAACCCTATATTCCATGATGCATGCATGACCAAATTATTCTTGAAATTATATTTTCCTAAAGCTCTTGACCTACACATTAAACGTGTTTCGCGCAACTTTGTTTTTTGGGCCCATTCGGAATCGTCCAAGCTCGTAGTTGAGTTTCGTTTCTTCCTATATGTCACCGACCAACCGTCTACAACCATGATTGCCCGGCAATTTTCGGGTTAAATCTATTCCTCAAGGGGATAAATAAATAACAAATCACCCGTTAACAAATCCTCCATGGACCATCTATTTATATAATGAGTGATTTGTTAATTATTTAGCCCATGAGAAATAGATTTAGCTTAAAAATTGACCGGGCAATCACAGTTGCGTAGGAGGGTTCATTGGCGACATATATGAAGAAGCGAAAATCAATTTCGAGCTTGGACGAGTCCGAACGGCCCCAAAAGGCAAAGTTGCGCGAAACACGTTTAATGTATCGGTCAAGAGCTTTGGGAGAATATGATTTCAAGAATAATTTTGCCATGCAAGCATCATTGAATAGGGGGTCCGTTAGCTACGTATAGAAACAAACGGAACTCAATTCCGAGTTCAGACGAGCCCAAACGAGCCCAAAACACAAAATACGTACTATATATTAATTTTTTTCATTAATTTTAAAATATAAAACTTATTATCAAAATACGGTTTATTTCTCAATTATTTATAAAACGTATTTTGATAATACGTTTTATTTCTTAATTATTTATAAAATGTATTATCAATATATATTTATTTATTAATTTTTTTCAAACGTATTATTGGAATACGTTTTATACTTTTTTTTCAATTGTTTTAAAAAATAACATTTTACAAATATAATTTTAAAATGTATTACCAAAATACGTTTTTTAATACAATTTAATTAAAAAAACGTATTATGAGAATACGTGCTTTTTATTTTTGTCCACAAATTTTTTTTTTCTTTTTATTTTTGTCCAGTTATTTTTTAAAAAATACATTAATAGAAAGTTTGACTAAATAAATATAATGTTTGACTTACTATTAATGAAAAGTTCGAAAAACTACATGTAAATCTTTAGAAACAAAAACTGAATCCTATTTTTTCGGTAACAAATTTGGAGATTTTTATGGCAAAATTTGAATCCCATTTTTTCATATCATATTTTATCTTTTAACCAAAATTTAAATCATATCCTTTTTTGTAACAAATTTAGAGATTCTTAAGCAAAAAATGTGTCAATTATTTATGAAAACAATTATAAATACAAGTCAATTTAAAAACCGTGCAAATTGGATACAAATTTACGAGAAAAATAGTTGTATAATGTCTAACCAATTCTTCCAATCTTATTGAATAATTTTTTCTTTCAAAAAAAGTGTGTAAATTGGTTAAAACCACGTGCAATTTTTATTTGATTAAACTGATATTTGGACGGGATGTACATTCAAAATTGTGCCCACATTTTTTGGTAACAAAAGCGGTTCATCTTTGATATCTAAAGTCACCTTATCCAATTATTTAGGAAAATTTGTGTGCAACTTTTCAAAATTTAAATGCATCGATTGGTTGTGACCAATAATTGGTTTGTAGGTTTGATGCTCACTGAAGAACAAATCAAGAACCTGGCCCTTGCTGAGATTGAGAATGTATTGAGACGACGTGGGTCAAGTCTTCGTGAATACTAACTATGCCATTTCTGGATAGGGAGAACATCAATTCATCTTTGAATCGTCTAATTTTGGATGAATTGAACTATGATCGAAAGGCCCTCGCTGTTGAAAACGATATGCTTCTTAAGAAAATGACAGCCGAATAGAGGAGTGTCTACTCAAGAATTATGTCCGCTGTTGATTCCGGCCAAGGAGGGCTATTTTTTGTATATGGTTATGGTGGAACTGGGAAGACGTACCTGTAGAGGACTTTATCTGCTGGTTTGAGATCCAGGCGACATAGTCTTATGTGTCGCATCCAGCATAATAGCATCGCTTTTGTTGCCAGGTGGACGAACAACGCATTCTCGATTTGCTACGTATAGGAAAGTTATCGAGCCTCGGACAGCTCCTCAGCTCAAGCGAAACGAGCGATTTCATGGTTCGAATTTTGGCCGGCAAAGACTTCAAACTCGGGCAGTCTTCGATTGAGAGCGCTCGAAGGCAAGTCGTGTTCCGGAAAGTGCTTCAGTCGGAGGCAGCTCGAGAGGTAAAGCTCGACAAGGTGCGCGAAATCGTGAAGCCTCTCGAGCAAATTATTAAAGTTCGTCTAGTTGCATAAGCTCAGATCTTCTAGAAGCATGGCACCATGTTGTGATTATTTTTGTTACATTTTTTATTGTTATTTTACATTTATTTTCCCTCATTTTTAGGTCTTTTAGAAGGTCTTTCGGTCCATTTAGTTGTTTTTTGTTATTTTTGTTGTTCTAGTGTTTATTGTGTATTTTGTGGTTTTTCGTGTGTTTTCGTGTATTTTTGTGTGTTTTTATGTTTTTCCGGTTTTTGGTGTAATTTCAGGTATAATAAGTCTGGATTTTCGAGAGTTATCGTTTCCGACGCATTGGTATCGAGCCCCGTGAAGATTTGAGTTACAAGATAAATTGCTCTTTTGAGCGTAGCTGGAAAGAAGAGCTCGTTAGTAACGCGTAGGAGAAAACGGAACTAAATTTCGAGTCCGAATGATCCCAAACGAGAAAAAACCGTAAAGCCGCGCAAGCTGCCCAAGCCTCGCGCCGCGGCCACTTTTCAGCATAACTTTGGGCAACTTTTGTAACTAATTATGGCCAGTATATGATATTGAATTGAAGAGGGGTTCGTTAGCTACGCGTAGGAGAAAACGGAACTCAATTCCGAGTCCGAACGAGCCCGTACGAGCCAAAACCGTAAAACCGCGCAAGCTGCCAAGTCTTGTTCAACATGGGCGGCGCCCACTTTTCAAACATGGATGTTGGGCGGATTTTGGAAGATTTTGGGCTGATTTTTGATAGATATGCTAGCCATTAATACATAATGATCTTAAGATGATTTTGATGTGATTTTGTCCCCTCTTGAACTAGTATAAATACATCATTTGTGAGAGGTCTTAAGGGAGAGTTCGGAAAGGAAGTTTTAGCTTGAGTTCTTAGATACAAATATTAGAATTAGTACAAACACTTTCTAGTGTTCTTGATGTTCTTGTTCTTGTTTTTATTTTCATTTGGTACTTGAAACACTTGTGTGTGTAATTTTATTTTATGTTGTGAGTTAAAATTCGAGTGTTTATCCAGTTAAAATCCGAGTGTTATTCTGTAAATTCCGTTCCGTTAAGACGTTATAAATTTATATTCCGATTATTGTTATTGCAGTCGTAATTATTCTTATTGTTCCTAAAGGAATGATTATGAATATTATTACTACAATAATAATAGTTGTGGATACTTATTAATATATATATATATATATATATATGTTATAAATATTAACTATTATTGCTTAATGTTATTGCTTATTTCTACTGTTGTAATTTTATTGCTTTATTTACTTTACGCACTTTACTCCCTGCCAATTACTTATCGCATATATATATATATAGAAATATTATTATTATTATTATTAGTATTATTATTACTATTATTACTGTAATTTACTTTCTGCACTTTACTTTCTGCACTTTACTTTCTGCAATGTTATTGCTTATTTCTACTGTTGTAATTTTATTGCTTTATTTACTTTACGCACTTTACTCCCTGCCAATTACTTATCGCATATATATATATATAGAAATATTATTATTATTATTATTAGTATTATTATTACTATTATTACTGTAATTTACTTTCTGCACTTTACTTTCTGCACTTTACTTTCTGCAATTTACTTTCTGTTTATATACTATTATTACTACTATTATTATTATTATTATTATTATTATTATTATTATTATTATTATTATTATTATTACTATTATTATTAATATTATTATTACTATTATTACTACTATTGTAAATTATTTCTGTTATTTACTGTTTTGCTTTTTCAGTTGACTTTCTGTTATTTACTGTTTTGCTTTTCCAGTTGACTTTCTGTTATTTAATGTCTTTCTTCTGTTTCTGTAATGTTATGTAAATTTCTAGTTGTAATCAAGCAAAAATATGGATTAATTTTCTGCATTATTATATATATAAAAGAAATTGAATTACACATAATATAGTTCGATTGACCAGTCCTTGAGATCGACCCGGGAAACGAGTTTTTAACTCGGTGCTCGGAAAAATATAAAACAAAATTTTCTACAACACACCACTTCCTTCTGGAAAGATCCCCTCCGAGACGACCTCGAGCTGCGCACAGTTCTTGATCGAGAGTTTCTTGAGCGTGGCCGGGAAATGGGCCACGGCCCACTTCCCGAGCGACAAGCACTCCTTGATCTCGAGACGCTCAAGTCCGGATATGTTGGCGGGAAGGGACTCTATAGAGTTGCAGCTCAGTCCGGGTACGTCCCATCCCAGAGTACACAGTCACACAGGGCGAGGACGCCGTGACCACGAACGACAACAATGCCCGTTCGGACTCGTCCAAGCTCGGAATTGAGTTACGTTTTTTCCTATACGTAGCTAACGATACCCTATATTTCATGATGCATGCATGACCAAATTATTCTTGAAATTATATGTAGCGCCCCACTTTATTTTAAAAGATTAATCGAATTCATTTAATAAAAATCAGAGTAAATTTTTCGCAAATCTCGTTGAAGTTTAAAATCCAATGGGCGCTACTTATTTTACCAATAGAAATTTATCCAAAATAAATCAGAATGAACCTGCACATTTATCAAGATCCAAAAATAATAAAATAAAAGTACAATCCAACAGTTCAATCCGTTCAACACTTTTCCAAAGTCAAACCAGTTCAAACATAACCCAATAAACCATAATGAGTTCATAAAGGCGAAAGCAATTTAATAAACATAAATAACAGGCAAGACCACCCAATCGCCTTGCCTCGTGACCCGCCAACTGCTTAACCTGCATCCGTGAAGAGCAGGTGGGAGTGAGTACAGTTAAATATCATACTCACACTATGCATATGAATAACATAATAATGGTATGGTCGCAACATGAACATAAACAATAATCACAACACGTCTCATCTCCTAATCAATATCACACCATTTAACCTTACTCATGTGCACATCTATCGCTAGCCGCAGAACGGGGATTCATTACCCGAAGGCGGGAGTACGTGCCACTGTAACAGACACGGCCTTCCATATGGGCTTACGTACCTCACAAGGGCACAGCCATATCAGGACTTAAAGGAGATTGCCACACAAGGGCACCGTACCGTAACTCGACGGGGACAACCATACCGACGGCCGTAACAGCTCACATCGATAGGATACATGTTCACATGCATACATAGATCATACCAAATTTTCCACACAATTAAATCACACATATGCATAGATAATATTAGAATAACAACCCACCTGGAAATCGAGGTAGGATATCACACTGAAATAGCAGATAAGTAGGTCGAGGGCTCGACTCCTCAAACACCTACAATTAAGTAATATAATACATCAATAATCTATCTCACTACATGAATTTAACATAAAACTCACACTTAATCAAAATTAAGGCTTAAAGGATTTTATCGGATTTTTCGTGGACTTGGAACTCTCAAATTTTTAAAAGAAAAGACTCATGGACCAAAAACAGAGTCTCGGGATTTAAAATAATTTTTCCAAATTTTTCTAGTTTTGAAAATATTTTTAAAATCGAAATCGGCATTAAAAACGGCCTCCAGAACTCAAAATTGGACTAAAAACTGAAATGGGCTGTCCAATCACAATATGGGCCGAATTTAACTCGGAAATGGGCCTGGGGCGACTAGGTGGGCCGCGATTTTGACCTGAGGAAAGGCTGGTGGAACGTTGGGCTGGAACGGGCTCGCGGGCCTGCAGTTACTGCCTAGAGTCGGGCTACGCGCGGGCTGGTGCGGGCTTCAGCAAGGAAAAATTACAGGAAAAAGGAAATGGCTACTAAGGCGACGATTGGATATAAATTGAATAGTAAATAAACCAATCAAAACTCAAATTTAACTCAACTCCACTATCTTCAATATTACCAATATAATTAAATAATATCAACCAATCATTCTTACACATTAAATCAACTTTAATTCACTATTCATCCACTCACATAATTTTAACTAACCATCACTTTCAATTATTTTTTTCATACTTTACATCAAATCAACTTTAATTATTTTATTTAAATATTATTTTAATATATCCACTAACAACTAACCATACCTCTTTTTTCCAAAATTAACTATAGTTAAAAACAAACCAAATAAAAACTAGTTGAATATATAAACAATCACCCCCTAAGGGCTGGGTTTGAACACAAGACCTCTCGCACAATACCTAGCATTGGACGCCACCGCGCCACAGTCTTGCTTGCGAACAATTATTAGAAATTTTACTTGACCTGCTGCCTTGAAGACGTGAACAAGAAAATAAATATACACACGCAGAGGACGAACAACAGATTTCCCAGACTGAAAAACTCTTCCGACAAACAGAAAGAAAATGCGACGGCAATTGCTTCAGACATTTACAGGAAATTTAAAAATAAAGGCTGAATTTCAGAGTTCGAACATATTTTGCAAATCGAGTTTAATTCCGGAAAATGAAATGACCATAGAACGGCTCTAACGGAAATCACACGGTTCGACAAACACGACTACAATCCGGAAAAAGAGAACGAGACTCTGAATTCGAACGGATAAATTACAGTTGCAACAAGACTCGATTTTACAATAAACGAGAGTTCCGATAGTCCACGTCGATTCACGATCCCATACGAATAAATATTCGAGATTTACAAACAAACAGAAAAGAACCATCAAAGCTTTGAATCCGCACAAGATGAACAACGAATTTAAACGTGCCTGAAAAATATAACGAGAAGGTTCCGAAAGATTTACTCGTCTTCGGGAAATACGAGCTATCAGAAAAATTGGGTCGGACGAACGGGAATCGGGAGGAATTCGAACGACACACGGAACTCCTCGAAGGTGCTGCTCGTGAACGGAGAACGTTGCTGACCTCTACGACGGCCGGAGACTGAAATCAGTAACGAATGGCTGCCGAAGGTGGAAGGTCTCGCTGGAATTAATGGCAGAGGGGGCTGCTGGACGTGTCGGGCTTTCGCTGGGAAACGGAGTG